ATTGTAGCAGTTAGCATTGTGTTCATATATTTCTGAAAACTGGATAGTGGCAGAAACAAGTTAGGAATGTATTTGTCTTATGGGCAAGAACTTTGGGGGGAGGCTGTCCAGAGCCAGCGTGGAGGGTCAGTGACGTCACTGAGAAACCAGTATCCTTTAGCTTCCTTAGTGATGGCTGCTGTTTCTCCCAACTTGTATATTCCAGCAGGATGAGGGAGGAAAGGGAAAAGGCACCATTAGCTGACCTCTTCCTGTGTTTCACTGGCCATAACTGAGTCACTTAGTTATCCATAGCTGAAAAAGGGTCTGGGAAGGCAGCTGTTTGTTCTCTAGACTCTACAGCACATAAGGGAAAGCAGTAAGGGGCTGGGGTGGGCGTTGAAGGGGCCAACCTACAGCATCCACCCCAGGTATAATAAGAGTACCTACCACAAATAGTTGTTGAGAAGTTTCAAGAGCATAAAGGATAAAAATTAGCTGTGAAAACCATAAAATACCAACAAGAAAAGTCATGTTGTTATTTGCTTCCTAAATGTCCCAGAAGGCCTAATCTGACCAGAATTTATCATCCTCTCAAATTAACGCAAGTGCCATTATAATGCCATAACAAAATTCTTAGCTAATGGTATGATAATATACAAATGATAAAATGCAAAAATAGTAAAAATTGTTTTTGTAAACACCATGGGCTGCCTCAGGTTTATTGTATCTGTTAGACTCATAAGCCTGGAGGCAGACGAGCTTCTATACACTAGAATTGAACCACAAGGGAAGTGGTGATAAGGTATTAGCGGAATTTCTAGGAAAGCCCTTGACAGGGCACCCTCGGAGGCCAGGAGTCCCCACATCAGCAAACTGGATTAAACTCTGTGTATGTGAACCTAGAGAAAAGGCTCAGTGTCAGGTCTTCACACAGGCCTTTCTTAACCACCCAATCTGAGGTGCCTTTTTGACCATAGTCATGCCTTTGTTCATTATCACATTTTATTTTCTGAAGTGCTACTGAAATTATTTATTTTCTGTCTCCTTCCCCAACTTTGAAAACCTGATTCCATAAGAGCAAGGACATTTTGTATCTTATTCACAGGTATAAATCGAGATTTTTGAAAAGTATTTGACCCATGATAGATATTCTAGATAAACCTTTTGTTTATTTTTAATTTTTTTTATTTTTTAAAGATTTTATTTATTTCTTTGGGAGAGAGAGCATGAGCAGGGAGGGGCAGAGGGGGAAGCAAAGGGAGCAGGGCAGAAGGGGAGGCGGGGCAGAGGGAAAGGGAGAAGCAGGCTCCCCACTGAGAGCCCATTGAGGGACTCAATGCAGGACTCAATCCCAGGACCCTGGGATCATGACTTGAGCTGAAGGCAGACGCTTAACCGACTGAGCCGCCCAGGTGACCCTCTAAATAAACCTTTTGAATGACCTTTTATCCACTTATATATATTTATTGCCTCCCCCATCTAGTTAATTAACTCTCATCACCTCACATATTTTTCTTCTTCTTTGTGAGAACATTTAAGTTCTACACTCTTTATAAATATCATTATAGAATACAAAGTTATCCACTTTAATCATATTATACGTTAGATCCTTAAACCTTATTCATCGTATAGCTGAAAGTTTGTACCCTTTAACCATATATTGTTACTTTAATATCATGGTACCTACTTTTTGCCCTGTCTTTCAAATATCTTTACCAAAAATAGTATCCTGACCTAGGTCCTGGGAATGGATATGGGGGAAAGTTTTGTGAATTGTAGTGTGTGTAAAAGAAAATTAGATTCTAAAGAAATAATCTTTGAGGCATGTTCGAGCCATATTAAAGCTAGTATTTTAAGTAGAGAATGCATTACCTTTACAAAACCAAGTAACCAAGCTATTGATTTGATTTTTAAATTTGCACTTAACTAAAGCTTTTTAAACTGGCATGTTGTGGTCTGTTGTATGGGATTTTTCTTTGAATATGTTCATATATTTAAACCACAAAGAAGCAAGATAGCGTAATATCATTTGTGCAAAGATATGCATACCTAAACCCGATTGAGAAACAGGAGAACTCTAAAAACAGTTTTCTGCAACCAACATGCCATTGACACATACATACTCCCAGCTTCGTTAATTACTGGGAAGTTTTCTTCTGTTTTCATTTTTAATCTGATAATTTTTTTGGCATCTTCTACATCCAGATAGCTGTATTTAGTTATTTTGCAGTGTGAATCTTCACCATAATCTGATATTAGCACACATCTTCAAGGTCATTGGGTTCTGACCTTACAATGGTCTTTAGTATTTAGTTGAGATGGTCTAATACCAAGGAGTAAAAACACTGACAAAACTTATGAGGGATCCACTAGAGGGCAGCAAAGTGCAAACCAAATTTAAATTTGCCCAAGGCAAGGCTGATGCTTTCATGAAAAAATTTGTATTGCAAAGATTTCTTAAATGCAAAACATTCAAATTAGTTCAGTAATGTAAAAGAACTTACATACAGATGTTTCTCTTTCTTGGAAGTAGTGGTCCAAAGACTCATTAGGTTGAAGAGCAAAATGAGAATAGAATTGGTCCTAGCCCCACCTCTTATACTGATTGTGTGATTTGGGGCAATCTACAGTTTGCCTTTTTGGTCCTTTTCTATGTTACATGGGTTTGCACAAAATAATTCTTAAAGTTCTTTTCAACTCTAAAATCCCAAGGTCTTATGATTTATGATTATATTTTAGTTATTTAAGTCTTGCTGATTAGGCTCTTACATTGGTTGATCAACCATAACTTGATATTAGTGGAGATTCTGTTTGGAAATACCCACCATTATTTCATGGAAAATTTAGGTCCCTGAAATATGTTGATGTTACCTTAATAAAATGATACTTCTGCCCCCAAACTATTACTTGTATATAATCTAGTGACAATAGTGATTGCAATGTTTTCCAAATAGGTTTTGATATTTAAACCATCAGTGCAATCTTTTATTTTTTAAAAAAGCAGCAAAATAAAATCCCAACGTGATATATTGTATGTAGCCAAGTTGTTTTCACTTTCCATTTATTTTCCTTTTAAGGTACTACATATGTGAACTCAGTATTAGTTATTCTACCAAAATTCTGAAATCATGAAGAAAGTTATACATTTTTTAAAAAGTTGTTGGCTTGAAGGCCAGGGATATGGTGACTTAGACTGAGGGGCACATGAAAGGTCTGAGCTACTGTTATGTCACCATTTACTTGGTCAACCACATGGAGCTTCTGGATGTGGCTGATTTTTTAATTTTAATTTTTATTTATTTATTTGAGAGAGAAAGAATGGGAAACAGAGAGCATGAGAGGGAAGAGGATCAGAGGGAGAAGCACACTCCCCGCTGAGCAGGAAGCCCAATGCGGGACTCGATCCTGGGACTCCAGGATCATGACCTGAGCTGAAGGCAGTCGCTTAACCAACTGAGGCACCCAGGCGCCCCCGGATGTGGCTGATTTTGACAGTGAATTCACAGTTATTCTTCACATTTGTTCAGTGCTGGTCATTGTAAGCACCCACCACAATAACCCATTTTCAGCTTATGCCTGAGTTGTGACTGAAACTGAAACCCTGTTCTAAACAGCATTTTTTCATGAGCACCAGTGGATAACAGTTTAGTGAAAGCAGAAAAGGTTTCTGAATCCAGACTGCTAATGTAGTCATATTTAATACCACACCACACCACACATTCAAATATTTTCAACCCTCATTTAAGGACATATTTTCCTCGTATATGCATAAGAAAGGGAGAAATATGCTTATTTGGCAGTGAATGTGACCTAGGAAGGAAAGTTATCCCTTAAAACATAATATACTTATTATCACTAACAGAAGCCAGAGGTAGAACAATATCATAATTATGTTCTAGACTCCCTGCCTTTGCACATTAGCTCAGCTGGGGCCAATTAGGCTAGCACCCTTTTTTCTATGACTGAGACTAGTTAGCATCTTCTCAGAACCTTAGACATTAGCGTGAGATAATAAATTACTCATTCGAGCCAATTTGCTTTTCCACTAGGGTGTGAGGATGTGAAGAGACCCCCAACTCAGAATCAACAGTTTCAGATATAAGTTGCCATCCCACAACAGTAATGAGATGAACCCTTCAGAGGCTTGGTATTATTTCTAGAAACTAATGAGTAAAATACTGGTTGCTTACATGCAAATCCTGACTCTGCTCTATATTCTGTGCCTCAATATCCTCATCCCCAAAATGAGGACAACTGTGCCTGTCTTTCAGGTTTGTTTTAAAAATTAAACTAGTTAATACTTGTAAAACTGTTATTATTTTAACTTAGAATATTAAAATGGCTTCAATTTTCCCAGTGCTTTTCCAGCAAGATGTAACTAAAAGTATCAGGTTTGAGTTTCTATTAATAATTCACTGTTGAGGGGCGCCTGGGTGCCTCAGTCGTTAAGCGTCTGCCTTCGGCTCAGGTCATGATCCCAGGGTCCTGGGATCGAGCCCCGCATCCGGCTCCCCGCTCGGCGGGAAGCCTGCTTCTCCCTCTCCCACTCCCCCTGCTTGTGTTCCCTCTCTCGCTGTGTCTCTCTCTGTCAAATAAATAAACAAAATCTTAAAAAAAAAAAAAATTCACTGTTGACCTTGAACAAGTTACTTCACCTCTCTTGGCCTCATTTTTCTCACCCAGGGTCTTAAACAATGCTTCAAAGGTAATACCCGCTCTAAGATGGTCTCAGTGGATGTTGTGGAATAAACACACTTCAATATGAGGAGGCTGGGGCAAATAGATCACCGGGACACCCTCTAGTTTTAACACTTCCTGTGATCCATTATCTCCCAATAGAGGCTGTGAGGAACATGAAGTGCAATTGTCTATCTATATTGGGAACCACTACTGCAGAACACAGACCATTTGCTGAAACGAATTTTGAAGGCATTACACAAAATATTACGTCCTTTATTGTGGTAATTAATCTAGCAACATATGTGCCAATATTGGACTGAACAAAGTCCTGGGTAGAAGAATAAATAAATAGCATTAATTTTGTACGGAGCGGCTGTCCGTGCCCGAGTTCCCAGCGGGCGGAGAGCGCCCCGAGGGCACAGACGGCCCGAGGCCCGGGCGCCCTCAGGGGAGCAGCAGGGAGCCCAGCAGCAGCTCGCCCTGGCCCAGCAGGCGGCCCCGCTCCCGGCCGCGGCCCCGCTTCTCCGCCTTGACGCGCACGGCCAGGCGGCGCACCTGGTCCTCCGACAGCCCGTCCAGGCACACGTCCTGGTCGAAGGCGGCCTTGCGGCTCGGCCGCACCACGGCGCTGCGCTGCGGCCGCGTCTTGCCCGGCGGCCGCAGGACGAAGCTGACGCGGCAGCCGACGGCGCGGGGCTCGGCGGTTCCCGCGGCCAGGCCCTGGG